TGGTCGGGTTCCCGGCCGGCTTGTCTCCCACTTCCTTTCATTTGTCTTCCACTTCTTTTCATTTGTCTCCCAAGCTAGTTGCTTGTGGTTGGGTTCCCGGCTGGCTTGTCTCCCACTTCCTTTCATTCGTCTCCCACTTCTTTTCATTTGTCTCCTAGGCTGGGTGCTTGTAGTCTTTTCCGCTGGCTATGCAGCATTTCGATTCCTTTGTCTCCCAGGTCTGTCACTGCTGCTGTCCGCCCTTTTTCACTGGCGATGCGCCATCTATATTCATTTGTCTCCCAGGTCTGCCGCCCTGTGACGTTGGCCATGCAACATTTCTATGCATTTGTCTCCGAGGTCTGTTGCAGCATTTCTATTCATTTGTCTCCCAGGCCTGTCACTGGTGATGTCCACCCCTTTCTGCTGGCCATGTAGCATTTCTATTCATTTGTCTCCCAGGTCTATCGCTGGCGTTGTCCGCCCTTTTCCGCTGGCGATGCAATATTTCTATTCGTTTGTCTCCCAGGTCTGTCACTGGTGGTGTCCACCCGTTTCCGCTGCTTCTATTCATTTGTCTCCCATGTCTGTCATTGCTAGTGTCCGCCCTTTGCCGCTGTCCACGCAGCATTTCTTTTCAATTGTCCCCCAGGCTTGTCACTGGTGGTGTCCGCCCTTTTCCACTGTTTCTATTCATTTGTCTCCCAGGTCTGTCACTGCTCGTTTCTGCCCTTTTCCGTTGGCCATGTCACTGCTGGTGTCCGCCCTTTTCCGCTGGCGATGCAACATTTCTATTTATTTGTCTCCCATGTTTGTCACTTGCGGTGTCCGCCCTTTGACGCTGGCGATGCAACACTTCTATTGATTTGCTTCAGGTTTGTCACTGCTGGTGTCCGCCCTTTTCCGCCGGCAATGCACCGTTTCTATTCATGTGTCGCCCAGGTCTGTCACTGCTGGTGTCCGCCCTTTTCCGTCCGCCATGCAGCATTTCTATTCATTAGTCTCCCAGGTCTGTCACTGCTGGTGTCCGCCCTTTTCCGCTGGCCATGTAGCACTTCTATTCATTTGTTTTCCAGGTCTGTCACTGCTGGTGTCCGCCCTTTTCCGCTGGCCATGCAGCATTTCTATTCATTTGTTTCCCGGGTCTGTCACTGGTGTTGCCGCCCTTTTCCGCTGGCCATGTAGCATTTGCATTCATTTGTCTCCCATGTGATTTCTTTCTTTTTGTCTTTCAGGTTTGGTGCCTGCACTGCTGTTTTCTGTCCTGTCCGCTGGAACAGGTTCACCTGTACAAGGTTCTTGCTCCTTTGAAAGGGGTGCGTGACTATCTCCGGGATTGCATTCCTGCCGCACCGTGTAACTGTCTTAGCTTTGTTTTCCTTTTCGGGCAAGCGTTGGATGAATGACCGGATTGGACTGCGGCGGCGTGGCAGCGATCTCTCTGTTCAGTTGGGACGGAGGGCATGCGTCAGGCACCAAAAATCAATTTCATGTCACATCCTTCGCTCCTCATGCTTTTGTTTCTTGTCCTCACGTGGTCAGCTCATCGCTGATTGAGCAGCATGACCAGCATCATGTTCGCACTTGAAGAATAATTCCCCAAAAGGTTTACTGTTAGGGCTGCCCCATTCTTTCTTAAGATGTGTCCGCCGCTCTGTACTGCTGTGTCCGTCTCTGCCTTGCAATCCTTTACATTTGTCTCCCAGCCCTGGGCTGCTGTGGGCGCCTCTGCCTTGCAATCCTTTGTCTCCCAGCTCTGGACGTCGCAAGCTCTAGTTTCGATATTGAAAAACACAAACTGTTTGGGGTCTACGGTGGTGTAATTTAGACGGTTAGGTCGAGGGCACACTCCTTGCGGCCGTTTCGGTTCATAGGCTGTGGTTTGAGGTTGATGACCTGCAATAAGTGCAGGTCTGGACCTCGGGCCCCAGGCGACTCCTGGTGCCTCGGCTGTTCATCGGTCGAGGCTCTCCTCTCGGACCTCCGCAGAGAGTGGGCGTCTGCACCCTTGCGGGAGGCCGCGGAGAGCGCGATCTTGGGTACCGCCTCCCTGGTGCGGAAGCTCCGGAGAACTGCGACCGCCGAGGCCGTGCAGGCACCTGCTGGCGGCGAGGCCGCGCGCCCTACGGGCGCTGGCCGTGAGGAGGAAGAAGAGGTCCCCGAGGAGGAAGCGATCTACGAGGAGGAGTCGGAGGAGCCGCCGCCTCGCCGGAACCCGGCAGGGTCGACCCCAAAGTCACGACCAGCTTTGAAGAGGCCAAGAACACCACCTCGCCCTCCACCGGGGCATCACACAGGTCACACTCGGAGGGAGGACGAGGGACATCGACATCGCCATCGTACTCAGGACGGGCAGAAAAAGCATAGAGGAGGGGCAAAGCATCAACAGCACTCCAGGCGAAACTCGGCTGGAGACACGAGGACTACGCATCGCCCGCTCGCTCGTGAACTGGAAGGACAGCCCGTGCTCGGGCGCTCCCCTCCGGGAGAGCGCTGAGTGCAGGCTGAGTCGATGGACAGGCAGGGGGGTCGCAGCCGGCCTTCAGGTGTGGGAACCGTGTTCGACGGCTCCTTAGACTGGGAGGCATGGTGCCAGGTCAGACCCGAAGAGTCGGACATCTTGGAGGTGACCGGCTTAGCAGGTTTGGAGGGTTGCGACGCTTCGAAAGGAGTGTTCTGGGTCCAATCCATCGCCGACGTCGATGCATTGGGTCTCAAGCTACAGGTGGCATTTTTGGGTGGCTCCGAGGGCACTACCGGGCCCACGCTTGCACAGATTTTCAACAGACGCAAGTCGGTGCTGCATCTATGTCATGGAGAGCTTCCGTGTTCAGTGGACGGTTGTGGAGGCCATGCTACGAGGTTCACACGTTACAAGGTGTACGACTACGATGTGTCTTACCTGCACCAGGAGGTTGCAAAGGCCTTCAAACGTCGGAAGCGCGAATGGGACAAACTCCGAGGAAAAGGACATTCAGGAGATGCTCTTTCAGGAGGCGACGATGGATCAGGTCGACCACGCGGAGACGGGCTCCGAGCGCCGGTCGCTGGAGACCATCTCGACGCGGACCCAGAGGAGCCACGGGGCGAACCGCTCTTTCCGGAGACTGGCGCAGGTGGCACTTGGGGGGAGTTGAAGCCTCCCGTCGAACTGGACAGAGGAGCGCAATTTCCCGTGGCTACCGACGAACGTCGGTCCGCGCTGAGGAAGACCCTGAGCGAGGCCAAGCAGCGTTTTCACGATGCACAGGGCAGAGGCCGGCAGTCCAGAGCCAGGCCTGGTGGAGAGCCTTTCAGCGTCTTCGACTCTGTACCGGAAGGGATGCCGCCTCCACCCACGACGAAGAGGGACTTCAAGACCAACAAGAAGGATTCTGCAGAGGTTCTCTCGCTAGAGGATACAAAAGATACTACTTCGAAACCCTCCAAGAAAAGGAAGGCAGCCGAGGACGACACACCTACCACCAGAGGGGTGTTGAAGCAGCTAGTTCATCAAGCCGCAAAGGAGCCGAAGAAGGAGAAGGCCAGCAGGAGGTCACGTTCATCATCGAGGACGGCTATGGCCCACAGGTTGATCAAGACGCTGGCCAAAGGCCTCGGCGTCAGGAAGCCAGACAAAGGAGAGGCGAGAAAGAGAAGGCGAAGAGACGGATCGTTTCCCCCTTCCTCCGGTCCCGATGGGTCCGACGAGACCAGCTGTTCAGGAGACGGCTACACCGACTCCTCGGGCGCCGACATCGAGCAGAAGGAGAAGGACAAGAGCACACCACCATTGGAGAGGATGAGCCAGAGGAAAGCCGGGTCTGTGCTTCAGGCCTTCGTCAACCACATGAGGGAATCGCTTCAGAACCTCGACGAAGGCAGTCTAGCGCCGGAGTACTTCCACCTGCAGATCAAACCTGCGATTGGCGCGAAGTCCCGAGAAGCCCGCGAGATCTACTGTCTCCTGCAGGGGATAGACCTGCTGAGATCTGGAAAACTGGACCAGTTGGGCGATCTCATGGCGGCCCGGGCGATGGCATGCAGTCCATCAGTCCGTCACCGATGGAGGATCGTGGAGAGCCGCGAAACACCTCGAGATCCGAGACTGGAACTGCTGCGAACACAAGCCTGATCCTGCAGGCCCGCAAGTTCGCAAAGGTCTCCGACAGGGCAGCCGGTCTCGGGCAAACAAGACCATGGGTGCCCAGGCCCTTTGCCAAGGGGGGCAAAGACTGGTACGACGAGGGCGATTCCTTCAAGGAGTACAAAGGCAAAGGCAAAGGCAAGAGAGGCAAAGGAAAGAGCGACAAGGGCAAGAAGCCATGGAAGGATGGGGCCCAGAAGGACTGGGCGAGCACTCAAGCCCCTCCGCCGGGGAAAGACGACAGCTGACTGTATCCGACCTTGGTCAGATCCTGGAGGCAGCACACGACACCACTACGTTGGGACTGGGCATCTCGTGCTTGGTTGATGCATTGAGCTATGAGTTGTCTCAGGCCGCGCGGACTCCCCCGCTGGCTATCCATTTGGGATTGAAGGCCGTGAAACGACGGGTGCTGAGAGTTAGGACCTCTCGCGCACTCCTACCCATTCCTGGGGAGGCCGTGGTACAGGTTCGCCCAGTTTCTCATCCCTTTGAACCGGAGGGGACGCTGCAGCGGATACGTTGTTTTCTTGAGCGCAGGCCGCCTTTCAGGGCCGTTGCGCCGTCGAGGCAGAGCGTTGAGGAGGAAGGAGCTGGTGCATGGGCGCTTAACAGCCTAGCGGGTTGCAACTTGCTGGCCGGACATCACTCGTTGCTGCCGAGTGGCAGACCTTCTGCCTTACAGTTGGCGGCGGTGGGAGAGCTCCAGGCCACCGTGACCCGCTCCATGTCCAGGAGCTTTGAACTCCGCTGGGCTCGAAAAGATTGCGCAGCTGAGTTGAAGCGGGCACACGTCTCATATACAGGGGAGGAGGTCGAGGTTGCACAGATTTTGTCGGTCGAGCAGATGAAACCTGCCTTACCCCCTTTTGGTTTTGGGGGAACAATTCAGGCGGTTGACTTCCTCTCCCCGGGGTCTCGTTTCTGGCTGGAGCATCCCGAACGTTTGTTGGGAGACCCTGCAGGTTTCTCCGGTTTGAAGTTCGAGGCCAAACTCCATATCTTGAAGGGACAGGAACTTGAGGTCGCTAAGCTTTTGGTAGATAGGAATGTTTGCACTTGGCTCGAACGTGAGAAGGTCTTTTCCTTCGGGGGGCAGGAGACTTTACAACGGCATGTTCGGCGTCCGCAAGGACGCTTTGACTCCGTCGGGCAAACCCGTCCTACGTACCATCATGAACTTGACCCCCTGCAATTCCCTCTTCGTTCCCTTTCAGCAGGGTCATCGGGAGTTACCTTCGATCTTCACCTGGAACTCGATTGTCGTGACAGCATCGGACATCCTTGAGGTTTCCCAGAGTGACATGTCGTCAGCCTTTTACTTGTTCGCATTGCCCGCTCAGTGGAGGCCGTACTTCTGTTTTGCTATTAGTGCCGATGGCAGTGAGATAGGGCTAGTGAAGGGGAGGCGCTATGATCTTTGTTGTTCGTGCCTCCCCATGGGCTGGCATAGTTCGGTGGCCCTCACGCAGGAGATTTCTGCCCAGGTTTTGGTTTCGGGCCGTCTTCCAGCGTCACACCAACTAGCTCGGAACCGGCTGATCCCCTCCTGGTTGGTCAACCTTGAGAGCTTGGTCCCACCGGCTCATCGAGACTGGTGGCAGGTCTACCTCGACAACTTCGCGAGCGGGCTTGTCACCAATGCCTATGACGGGAGGAGTGTCCCGCCTGAGCGGCCACACCGCTGGCATGAGGAGGCAGAACGAGCCTGGGCTTCAGCGGGGATCGTCTCGTCGGAGAAGAAGCGGGTGACCCGAGCTCGCACAGCGGTCGAGCTGGGTGCCCACATTGACGGTGAGAAGCATTTAGTGGGAGGTTCACCGGAGAGACTTTTGAAGACTGCCAAACTCATCTTGTTTCTCCTTTGTTCATCTTTCACGGTGAAGGAACTTCAGACGGTGACCGGTAGGATCGTGTTCCTCATGTCGTTTCGTCGTCCCACGATGGCAGTGTTTAGTAAGACTTGGACTTACATTGCCAAGCCCGCTTTACGCCATCGACTGTTACCGGACGTGAGGAGAGAACTCTTTAATGCCCTCCTTCTTTTACCCCTCATGTTTCAGGACTTGACCGCCTCCATCCCGGCCGTAGTGACTTGTTCGGATGCTTCCCATGAGGGGGGAGCAACTGCAATTGCTGAGACTCTCACCGAGGAGGGGCAGGAGTTTCTTAAAGCTGCACTGGCGGACGAGCATCCTCCAGACAGGCAGTCGATCTTGGTTGTAAGTGCCTTTCATGGCATCGGAGGAGCCAGTCGAGCATACGACTTGTTGGGGGTGCAGGTTGAGGGCACAATTGTAATAGAAATCGACTCGGCAGCCAATCGCGTGACCTCCCGACGCTGGCCGTCGAGTGAGTTTTGGGGTGACATCCGTCAAGTCGATCATGACGCCGTCCGTGCATTGTCGGTCAGATTCTGCCATTGTACCAGGGTTGATTTCTGGGCGGGGTTCCCCTGCGTTGATCTCAGTTCCGCAAAGTTCGGTCGTCGTAATCTCGAGGGAAGCGAGAGCTCACTTATCTTTGAAGCACTTCGAGTTCTTCGTTTGCTGAGGGAACTCTTCCCTCCCACGACGGTCGTACATCATATATTCGAGAATGTTGCCAGTATGGATGTCAGTGCTAGGGACGAAATCACCACACTTACGGGAACCAAGCCTTGGAGGTTGAACCCGGCCGACATCCTACCCATCTCCCGGCCAAGGTTCACGTGGACATCCTTCCCTCGAGCTCAGCTCGCGGGAATCCGGTGGCAAGATCGTGGCGGCTACTTTGAACTCGAACTTTCAGGCGAAGGGATCAGCCCTAGCCAGTGGCTGCGCCCGGGCTGCTTGTGGGAACCATTGGACCCAACCACCAAGTTCCCTACGTTCATGAAGAGTATCCCTCGGGTCCGGCCACCACCAGCCCCGATCGGTATTCGGAGGTGTGACGAGGGGACCCTCGGCAGGTGGGAGGCGGATTCTTTCCGGTTCCCGCCGTATCACTATTCTGAACCCTATGTGATTTGGCAAGGGGAGACCTGGCGGCTTCTAGATGCTTCTGAGAGAGAGCTTTTGCTAGGATTCGGTTTTGGCCACACTAGTCTCGCATGGGGGGCCACTGCAGTAAAAGGAGACCTACAAGGCTTTGAGGATAAGCGTAAGAGCCTGTGCGGTGATTCGTTCAGCATGCTGTCATTCGGGACCGTGTTGGCGTGTAGCATGCCTTGGGTTGACTCACCCTTTTCAGTGTCGCATCTCGTTCGCCGGCTCGGTCTCGCACCGGGGTTCTGTACGGGTTGGACGGTCGCTGCCCCTGTGGCTCGCCGCCTCCAGTTCGGCGAAAGATCCACCGAATGGGCGCCCGAATTTCCCGTCCGAGAGCTCAACAAGCTTTTCCTCCAACGCACCAACCATACAGGAGCTGATGTCCAAGTGGTTACAGGTCAGTTCTTGGGAAAATCACCAATACGCCAATCTGTGCCAAGTTGTCTTTGGAACTGGCGATTCCTTTTCCAGAATCGCTGGAGCCGACATGAACACATCAACGCGCTAGAGATGAGACAAGCCTTGATTTCACTTTCTTGGTTGCTGCGAGGGGGGTCTAATTTCAATTGTCGATGGGTGCACTTAAGCGACTCTTTTGTGACCATTTCGATCCTTTGCAAGGGCCGCACCGCATCCGACAAGCTAGAACATCTCGTTCGCCGCTTTAACGCCACAATGCTGGTTGCCCAAGTGTTCCCGATCCTTCTCCACGTAGCCTCCCTCGACAATCCCACGGATGAGGGATCTCGGAGGTTCCCGCAGGGCAGCCATGTTAGCACGGCGACGCCGCCGAGCCGGGATACCGCTAGCTGAAGCTGGTGTTTCGCCCAAGACCCGTTTGCGATATTTCGCTGGTCTTCAGCGAATTCTACAGTTCGTGACAGTGGCCTTGAGCTGGGCCGATCTTGACGATCGCATTGCAGGTTGGATTGAGCAACAGTGGGAGCTTGGTGAGACCATTGGGATCATTTCCGACAGCCTGTGCGGTTTGACCTTGTACCTTCCCGCTGCAAGACACCAGGTTCCTGAATGCTGGCGGCTTTTTCGAACGTGGCGGAAAGCCGAGATACCGAATCGGGCACCACCCATGCCAGCAGAGGTGCTGTGGGGCTTCACGGGTTTTTGTTTGTCCCACAACTGGCTCCGCACAGCTTGCATTTTGGCTACCGCCTTTCATTGCATGCTCCGGACCGGCGAGGCGCTAGCCATCGCCCCAGGGGATTTTCTTCTACGTCGCGGACACGGTATCCTGAAACTTCATCAGACTAAGACTGGTCGTTCCTGGGATGAATACATCCGCATTGAAGATCCCCGAGTTCTCACTCTACTTGCCTCGCTGCTGCCTTTGCTGGGTGGTAACCATCCGGGCAAACCTTTGTGGCAAGGTTCCGCTCAACTTTTCCGCTCCACACTCCAGCAGATCGTCTCTCACTTTGCAGTGGAGCACTTACAACTACGGGGGGTACTCCCTCCGTCGCGGGGGTGCGACTGATGACTTCGAGCGGTACGGTTCCTTAGAACGTACTTTACAACGCGGAAGATGGCAATCCTCTCGCGTTGCCAGGTTGTATCTGGCTGACGGGGCTGCCAGGCTGACTCAGCTACGTTTGAATACAGTACAACTAGCCCGGATTCGTCGTTACGCTGCCTTGTGCACTCTTTGACTTTTAACACTTTTCCCCCCGGGGCGTTCTTTAGTTTCACTCTTTCTTTCAGCTTCGCCGAGCAGTGATTGTGCATCACTGGGGGACGTGGAAGAATGGTTCTGTTGTCCAATTTCGAATGGCAATAAGTGGCCT